CCATTATTGGAGTGGGGGTGGTAGAGGGGTGGGTTTGCTAATCAAGGCATAAAAAGTTTTGACTTATTAAAATGTTCTGTTTGCAAATCCATGCAGCAAATAGTGGACATTTAAATAAATAATAATTTAATTAAGTAATGCTTTATAATTTTTTCCCCACAGGAAGCTAAGTTAATAGATGATTGGAAGAAACTGGAAAAAGGTGTTCTAACGAAGCACCTTCTTAAACATCTTTGGAAGGAGTTTCCAATATTTAAGAACGACACAGATGAGAAAATGTTTAATTTTTTTGTCAACTTGATGAACAAATTTGGCCTCCTATGTCAAAAAAAGAAACAAGTATGATCAAATAAAATTTTTTGTAGGAAATTAGGATTGTGATTACTGATTTTGAAATCTTTACCAAAGTCAAATTGTTGAATAACAAAAAAAAAATGATTCAAAACATCAAACTATGGCTATGATTAAAAGAGAGAATGTGTAGTGTGTTCTATTGAAAAGGGGAAGGAAGATTAATCAACATTAAAAAGGAATCACAGTGATAATAATAAAACCATTTTCAAGCATACGACCACAGTGATGCCTCCTTGGCTTAAACCGGCAGGCCCTTAGGACCTGGTCCTAGTACACAGTACACCAAACAAGGCAACATTTGTTGTCTTCTCATTCCCATTGTTATTTTTTTCCAAAGAATTAAAGTTTAAAATTAATTAAAGAATAAAAGGATTAAGAAAATATACCACATTGTTGTATTTTTCTTAGACATCCACGCTTTCTAACTTTCTTTTTTTCTCTCAATACTCTTGCTACAGAATACTGATTCAGATGGTATTGCTTACTATGCAATTTCACATTTACCACCAAAACAGTGTTCAGAGGATCCAAATGATGACCAAGGGAGTAACAAAATATCCATCTTCCATGACTTCCATGGTTTTCTCCCAGACTATTTATTCCATCTGGCCGTCACTAAATTCATAGAAGAATTTCAGGTGGAAAATGGACCTGATCCTACACTGGCATATGAACATGCAGAGCTTAATATTGATGATCATCATTATGTGAGGATAGCAGTTACAACTATCAACCACCAACGGATGTTTAAGGTACACTTTTACTTAATCTCTATTTCTTTTATTCAATAAAAACATATGAAAATAGTGGCAAAATATATGAGGCATGTTGTGGCAAAATGGTTAAGTTGTAGCAAAAATTGAAATTCAAGTTATTGGTATTTTCAGATACCTGATTATGTGATCTTTAAAATGAGGGGTCATTCATTGAAATTGGACATTTCAAGCCACAGTTATTGGAAAGTGAAAGTACAGTACTCTTAGAGGCTAGATAAACATGATTTTGAGAATTGCCTTTCAAAGTTCTTTGTGCATACATTGTTTAATAGAATAATCTATCAAAATAACATTAGATAAACAATTTGTTGACCACTTCCAGAACTAATACTTTGGGACATTAATCTGTTGATCTACAGTGAAAAACAAATTTGGATTTTTAGGCTATTTTTTGAGCTCCCATATTTTAAAGCTCATTTACTCAATACTGGCCTGTGCGACAACTTAACCATTTCGCCACGACATGCCTCATGTTTCCTTGGCAGACAATGACTGAGTTGAGGACATTTTTTACATAAGCTAACCAAGGTCACAATATATAAATATAATATTTTATAATATATAATAAGTGTCATTTAAAAATACTAAAATACAGTGAAAAGTGCACTAATTCAAAGAGAAATATTAAAACACCTGGCAAGCACATCAGGAAACTTTAAAAAAAAGGAACAGCAGTGACCCCTCCCAAAGGTCGCACAATCATGACATTCTGACCAATTTAGGAGGGCAGTCAAAGATTGACTGTTCCATTTGATGAGGCTTGTAGCATACGTGTTACTGATACGCGCTACTCATATGCCATTACACGCTACTCATACGCCATTACTGATACACGCTACTCATATGCCATTGATGTGGGAGTAGGCACTCAGTAATTGGACATGGAAAAAGAAGTTGTGTTAGTTTGAAATAGAGTCCGAGTCATTTATTGATAGTTGTTTTACGATATCGATCTAGGAAAGAAACTTCTCTGTCTGCCCAATTCCCAATGGCACCACATAGTTTATGGAAACTTCTCCAGTACAAGTTTTGATTGTCTTAAAGTATTTGAATGTTTTTGTTGTCCATACAGAAATCTTTCCAAAAGACCATAACATTTGTGTTTTCTAGTATTGGAATAATAAAATTAGGAAGCAAATAATAGGTATTAATATTTTTTTTTCTGTAGACAACAATTGTGAGGAGACAAGAACCCAATGCCTGTTATGTTGTGGAACCAGTACCTGAAACATGTAAACAGGTATGACAACAGTTATTTTAACGTTCTATGTAAGTTTTTCTCCACCTTGGGCCCAGTTATTCAACCTTTTCAATATGGTGGCCACTTCCAATCTTTTGAGACCAGCAGTGGGCTAACAACCCCACCCATTCTCTTCTATAGGCCTCCTATTAGCGAATTTTCTTAATGTAGGTTAATTTGGTAAAATCTCATGAATTTGCCCATCTAATTTTGACTATAATATATAAACTAAACGAGCCACACTGGGGCAGGATTTGGCAGTAAGGGTGCGTAAGAGTTCACACCATCTCAGCCCCACCATGGTTGGGTGAGTTGCAAACATTTTGAGAATATGAACCTCTAGGTCACATTTTTTCATCCTGGTTGGGATCAAAATGTCTTTATGATCACACAAAAGCACATTTTGACTATATTTGTATTGTTACAGTGACGTTATGGAGCATTTACTTGAGTATATACAGTGTCATTTTACACCAAAATCAATGAATGGCTCCCTTTGAATAAATGCCCCCTCAAAATCCCTTCTCAACAATAAATGTCTGGTGGAATTTATTCAAATATATACAGTATTTAAATTTACTCACCAGTGATGAGATTGGTTGAGTTAATAGCAATCAGGTCTTTGCATGCTTATGATTTAATATATTTAATTAAGTTAACATCAAATCATCATCACATTATCTTCAACATCATCAACGACAATCACTCTTAACAACTTTTCTTTATTTTGGTTTGTGTAGGTATTGTCTTTTCTTCAATTAGTCCTTGAGGGTCTGTGTTGTGCAAGAGGGATTCAATACAAGATGTGTATACCTTGCAGTTGTCCTGACAAATGTCAGCGCATGCACAACGTTACAAATTTCAACAAACATATAGTGTTTTGTGGTGATTTTGTAATCAGCATTAAACGTTACTGCAGACTGTTTGGAGGTGAGCTTTTAACAATTATATATTTGTTTATTTGTTTGTTGGTTTTATTAGCATATGTATATTATTGATTGTTTTAGTATTTATATTATGTATAATATAGGTCCTAGGTTGGAATCCCGGTTGGGGAAATTTTTTTCGCACTCGCAGATTTCTCTTCTTTACCATTTAAAATGTATATATATATATATATATATAGTATTAAATTTGGCAAATATATACCTTGTTCCTGAGTTTTATTTGATATATATCTACACTTTGCCAAGCAGCTACTTCTGATTTTCCTGTTATATATATATATACAGTATATATATATTTTACGAACGTTGATTTTACGATTAGTCGATTTTATGAATAGTCTTTTCCCCAGATGACGTCATTGTCGACCAATTATTACAGTACTGTGGAAAAGTCTGATTGCGCACATTTTACAAAGTGATAATGTATATTTTTCTTAATAAAATCAAGTTTGTTGTATTTATTTATTAACAGTTCGATCTTTTCTTCCATTTCTGGTATAATAATCATTATATTAATGTAATAACCCCAACTAGAACAACGAACTACCAATGCAAGTGTTGTCGGATTGAGCGCACATATTGACGATGACGAACAAGAGTATTGGGGTCAGCAACTTATTTACATCGTGAATGCTAAATATGATCGCGAAATGCATGTAAACAACACTATTCTGCAATCTAACAACTAGAAAAAACATGATAGAAAGGCTCATAAAACATACAGATGTTTGAATAAGAGTTAAAATAATATTTTGTTAAGTGGAAGATGCCAGCGATTAAAATAATTTGGTTTTCATCAAAGGTAGATTCAGCTAGGCTCTTGCGCGGTAGACCACGTTCCTGCACTGTCGGTTCGTGCTAGGCCGGTTCGTGCTAGGCCTGTCCGCTGTCAGCCTGTCAGCGTTCAATGGCAGGGGATAGCTAGGCCTAGGTATTGGAAACTGACACCCGATCTAGTTTACAAATTTTTCAATTTAGGAAAACTCCTTGGTACCAAGGGGTACGTAAAATGGACGTTTTACTGTACATATATAATCTGGAATCTGCGAATGTGAAAAAAATACAGTATTTAAATGTACAATTAGCTTCATACTGTTTAGACCACAGAGGCCCATACGATATTACAGACCAAAGACCACTAGTCTCACATCATACAACTATGACTATTATGTATTACTTTAAAAGACAAAATACTAAAAAACAATGAAACATTCAATTTTTTAGCTGAGGTGGGTAATGGTGCTTCTTCATCTGAGCAGATTACAATTCAAGGTATATTTTTTTGTTCAATTTCCTTTACACCATTTGTGTTTGCATTCCACCACCATCATTGCTTTTTCACTCACCTGATATGGAAAACTAGTTAACATATGCTTATGTTACATTCTTTTCAGTTTGTCTGAAACATGGTACCTATTATTTCAATTTGATACTGTTTTCTATATAGTATTATATTTCGAAACTTCGTCAATTCATACACAATTCAGCCATGTGCTGCAATTGATTGAATAAATATGCATCAAACAAATTGATATAATATAGTATAGATATTGATGTGTCAAATTTCTGTTTATTTCAAAGGAATGACAGATATGCAATTCAACGCACTTAAAATGGATGTCTCAATGTGGTATGACGACCACAAATGTCTTACTATGTTGAAAGTGTTGTTCAGAGATCATGTGGGCAATGAGAGACTATCAAAAATTACTAATACTCTGGACTTGCTGAATGATTTAGTTGCACGTGGTCATTTGCATTTAGGCAATCTTGCTATTCTGCATGATACCATCAGCATAACTGAACATTTTGGTCTTCAACAAAAGATTAAAGTAAAACTTCCATCATTCCCAGATGTTACGGAAGGACTCATTTCAAAACAGTTCAGTTATTACCGACAAAGACTAATGAAGTGTGGAATGACCCTCAGCCCAGACAATGTGACACAAATTGATGGATTGCTTAATACGCCCCGTAAGGATTATATCGATGGCTGGAGTATGATCATTGATCTAGAAGACGCACAGATAATCAGCGAAAAAAATATGGACGTATTCATTGATTCATTGAAAATGCTTAAAATCTATTCTGCATTGAATGCACTACTAGATGGTAATGAGAACAGATGGCTGTCACGTGCCATTTCATTTTATTCGAAATAATGTGGATAATATAAAATAATTTTTAAAAAATCAAACAGATGTTAATATTAGATAATAAAAGTGGGAGCTGTGGCATGAAATATAAATGAAATAACTACAGTAGCCCCTTCTTTAGACTAACAAAATTTATTGAAACACAAGCTTTTGCTAGCTTCATCAGGTGAACATGAAGCTACAGTAGATCAAGCTAGCAAAAGCTTCTGTTTCAATGAACTTTGTTAGTGTACAGGTGCTACTGTAATTATTTCAATTAAATTAATATTAATGGTAATAATCGCGTGTGGTGCAGCGTGCAAGGTGTTCAACTTCCGATCATGAGATCGGGAGTTCGAGAACGAAGCTTGTCGTATTGCTTGTGTCTTTGGGCAAGAAACTTTACTTGCGTTTGCCTCTCTTCACCAAGGAATATAAATGGGAGGGTTAACCTGCTCGTCGGTGACCCTGCTATGACTGTTCCAGTCAATTAATAACAGCAACTAGAATTGATTATGATTCATACAAACGAAGAATGATATTAATATTTTAAAAAATAACCGCAATAATAACATTTATAAGGTGCTCTTTATTGCTATCTTACAGTGCTATAAGCTATTGAAACCAGTGAGTTTTAAGGAATTGTTGTATATCTTTGACATCAAATAGGATTACATGAAACATCCTAGATGCTTGTATGTTGACAACCTGGCAGCAAAAACAACAAGTTAGGACCAATCAAGTTGCCGTAATGTGAGAACTGCTGGAAAACCATGGATTTAAAGAAACCAGAGGTAGAAAGTTCTCCTTCATCCTAAGAACCATCATGGACATCATAATCTTAAGTTGCATTTTAAAACTTAATTTCATTCTTTTTGTTATGATCTTATATTGCTTGTATTTCCCATTTTGTTAAAATTAAAAATTCTTTATGTATGCATTTTATATATAGGTCCTTATAACTATAAATTAGTGTAAAAAAAGAAAAAGAATTCTATATGTCCCAGTAAATATGTACCATTAGTAAGCAATTAGCTTAGCTTACAGTGCATAATACGACAGGATTTATCAAGTAATAAAGAGACAACAAGTAATGAAGAGACAAAAGGTTTAAGATATACTCATGGTGCTTTGATACTGTACAAAGTTGCATCAAAAACATTTCAACCAGACCGGGGAGAAAGAGAGCATGGAATGTGTTCAGTGGACGTGATAATTATGCAATATTTAAATTTTCCTGGAAGGCTGGAGATTACGGATTGTTACCTCAACGAATGAATGCAAAATTATTTATGAAGTTTTAGCGAAACCATAAATATTTATATTTTTTTTAATACAGTTGTATATTTGTATTTGTACATATACACATGTAGGCTTATGCTTTGTAAATACAATATATGTAACATTTATAATATAAATCAATAAAAATGACATTTATTCAGTATATAACACTCTCTGTTATCTACACTGTGTTTGATGTTGTTATTGATTTAATTGATATATGTACAACACGAATGACCGTGTATTTTGACTTGCGACAGACATTGGATTTTATTAGCATATATATATTGCACTTTCTATATTTTTAAAATTTTTGCATCTAAAAATATTTTTTATTAAAATGTTTAACGATTAAGAAAATAAAATTAGGTCACTTAGTTTTGTATTGATGATTTTACTTTCCATTAATGGAAATAAGCTGCTTGAAATATGCAACATAATACAGTACAGAGTTGCCAGTACTGCAAGTTGCCTAGTTTTATTAATGGAAAATTGACGAAAGCTGTTTTACTTCATTATATTGGAACAAATATGCAGTTTGCCTACTTACTGGTACTGTGTGTATAGAACTGTATAAAGCAAATATTGGACTGCTAATATATATTTTTATAGGTTTGTGTGGTTGTACTTCATACATTAGCCATAATATGTATTTCAAAGTTTCATTGAAATGATAAAATGAATTCCTATGTCTTTTGGTGTTCCCTGTGCAACTAGAGGGTGTGGAACATTATGGTGTTCTGTGGGACATTGCAGCAAAGGCAAATAATTGGATCAATTACGTGACACTTTTTTATACCTTGTTTCGTGACCTTATTTTTTATAGATCATCAGTGGAAGCCTTAAAAGAAAATAAAACTGAAAACTTGTATTTTTTACTGAAATTTCCATTTTTACATGGTAGCGGGTGCACTAATTGGCCAAAAATAAAATTTAATTTTTATTTAAATCTTAATTATTGGCAGGCTGTGGCTTCGCAAAACTAGAATAAGTCTCACCTTTATGGTTTGACCACATTAAGTGAATTAATCTTTGTGTATTCATAAAGTACTGTCCTCATAAGAAATTACTCTAAGGCCTATTGTAAAGGTCCATCCCCTTTATAAGTTTATCCTTAAACTATGAAATTTTCTGAGTATTTGTAATATTATTTCCTTCAAAAATGTATATACTGTAACTAAGCATATTTTTAATGGCAGACTAGCTGTAGAGAAATTATGAAAATTTTACAAATGTATTTTATTTTGAGCTATGGCAATAAAAGGCTGGGGTAACAATGACGCCTTGACAGTATTGTACCAATATATATAGATATAGGTTTTCAAATTTTTATGACTTTTATATTTTTGATAATAGTTGCAATAATAATCATATTTTTATATAGATTTTTGAGTATTGATATTGATGTATTTTTCTGTTAAATGTTTTTGTATTTGTCTTTTTAAATTGTTTCAAACCATTTCAGCCTTGGCTGCTGTTTGTAGTTTCATGTTTTTTATACCGAATAAATAAATAAAATAAAGGCTCCATTCTACTGGTTTTCAAAAATTCTTCATTCACGTGGAAAGTTTCTGGAACCATGTGGTTGAAGCTGAAAGTGAAAAAAATTTAGAAAAAAAGAAAACTCTATTCAAATTTTGAGTCTAAAAGTGCCATTTCCTGCCATCTAGGTGGCATAATCATAAAATTTCTTACCTCAGCTCCAACCATGGTGGGGCTGAGGTCTGTCTCTTATACACATCTAGATGTGTATAAGAGACAGGTTATATAGTGACGGGCCCGGTCACGGCTAGACAGTAAACAAACAGCTGAGCTAGGCGTTGGCGAACCCGTACCTATGCCAACCCGTACCCACTTTGGCTAACCCGTACACAAATTTTGGTCGACCCGCCCGTACCAACTTCATTTTAGTCAACCCGTACCCAAAAGAACTCGCTAATCAATATTATGATAAATGTTTAAATATTGTATTTATTTTCAATAAAGCTGATAATAAGTTACATGTACTCTAACTGTTGGTTTATTTTATGGTATTTTATTTTTGTTGCACATTTCTGTCGCGGTTTATGGATCCACCGAATGTGCGACCGTGTATCTACAACATGGTAGCTATTGCTTATACCGTTTGTTAAACACGAAACTATACTAAGCGAAAGATACTAGAAATACAAGATAGAGTTCTCCACACAAAAAAAGTGTTCCACCGAAATGCATGGTGGGAATACAAACAATGGGACGCCCCCTACAGCTGGATCTAAAAAAACTTCTGCCAAACGTTCATTACCAAGTGGTTGCGTATTTTATTATCAATTCACTTTTTATTTACTAGATATAAAAACAGACTGGAATAGACACCCAGACAGTGACATCGGTGAATACATAACCTCCTTGGTGGTGGTAGAAATCGTTGCTATTATCCAAATAAAACACAAAACAATTAAAGCATAATCATGAATCAGTAAAGAATAAAACAACAATACAGCGCAGAATCGTATGGCCGGACGCACTCTTAGTGAAAAAGTTTTCCTCCTTTAGTGGAAAAGGAAGGGCGCCTTTTGGGTCTGGATATACCTAGCAACAGAAGGGCGCCCTGTACGTTGGGCACGAAGTATAGAAAACTTGCATGGTTAAAAAGAAGAGCGCTGCCTACGTTGGGCACGACTTCGCCTCATTTTTACAATGCGAGTGCTCTATCTTGTATTTCTAGTATCTTTGACTAAGCCTATGCGATAGTAAAGTTTATTATAAGCATTATAAGTCAATTGTGACGTAATAAAAAATCAGCATAGGCGCGGCACAGCTAAATGTAAATACGCACGCGTATACTGATCATATCACAATAGCAGCCGATGACTGTTACAACAGTTGGTTATAAAAAACTAAAATTAAAAGACTGCGGTTGACTTATAAAGCAATTAGTAGAGCATGCATCGTACACTAAATGGAAAATTATTATACTTAGGTTAGATTTAATGCATTTTAAAATTTCCTTCGGGCCTTGCAGGCCCTCAGGAAATTTTTTCAAGCATTAAATCTAACCTTCGTATAATAATTTTCCTATAGTGTACTATGCGGAGCTCTACTAATTGCTTATTATAAGTCAACATTACAGTATCACTTGTTAGTTTTCTTTACAGAAAAACAACGAAGGTTACTAAGTCAACTTGGTTTGAGACACGTTTCTGTTATTGATATATTTTGAATGTTTATTATGCTTATTAAATAAAAGATTTATGAAATAAGTGTAGTACTGTGAAAAGGTTAGTTTGTCATACGTTTGTTTTCTTCTGTTACATTTCGTTTCTTTTCACCATAAATGTTCTAATGACCAGTTTAAAATGATACATATAAATTAAATTAGACTGAATGGTATAATGGTAAATGGAAACAAAGGAAATATATAGTATTTTTTATATTTATTTTCCATCAATATTAATATGTTTATAATTACATAGGCCTACTGTACATTTTAATGGCCACTCAAGCTTCTTTTATGGAAATATACGTTCCCACAAATATAGATTCCCATGGTACTCTTGATTCGAAGCAGACAGAGGGTTTTGATACATATTATGATGTTTATAAAATAGACAAATAAATGGAAATACAGTAGTTTTAATATAATGTATGTTAGTGGCTGTTTCATGCTTTTTTCAACAATTAGGAACAATTCAAATTGTACTAGATGCCTGGAAAATTTGTACGCCGCCTTCAGGAATGTGGGCGCATTAATGCAAAGACAGAATAGGTCAGATGATGCTAAAAATAGACTAGCTATTTTTAGGTGAAAATATGTGCGGTGGCAGTGAAGAGCGTCACATGTAATCACCTACTGTAACATTATACACGTCACCATTAACTTTGTATCGTCTCTGCTACTGGTATCATATCAAAATACACAAATTAGTGGAAATATAATATAGTTTTGATAAAAATAAACGTATAAAAATAACAACTAGTTGGCAAAGACTCATGCAATGACAGTGCAGGCGTACTTGTTGGTAACAGTAACTTTATTTCTATAATTTTATAATTCAGATATAAAAGTATATATTTGATTCAACAAATTACATCAGTACCGTAACAAAACACAGAGACTTTTATTATGAATAATTCATAAATTGATAATAACTTGACTTTCACTTCTGGGAACTGCAAGAAGAAAAAAAAACATTGTTTTTCAATATTGAAGACTAATGTACATAACTATACTAAAAAACATGCTAAAATTATATTCAAATTTATTGTAATTAAAATTTCTCTGAAACAATAGCAATCGTAAAAAAAAAAATTAAAATTAAATAACCATGCTGAAAAAAAATACAATAAAGTATTATGTATAGTCAAGCATCGTAAAAACCAAAATAAATAAAATTACTACTTAAGGGTAAAACAAAAAAAACTATTTAAAAATGCAAACCGTTACTTAACGAACAATTAAAATAAACCACTGTGTACATCGGCGTACCATACACTGTTAATCGCGTCCAAGGCGCCTAGGCCCGGGCGATCATGAATTTCTTGATTTAATGCATGCTCGGTAAAGGAAATTATGTATTCTAACCCGCAAGTTTGGTGTTCATAATATAGTTTAATATGATTACTATACAATACAGTTTGCAAAATGTTTTATTATAGTAAAAATATTACTTGGATTGGGGTTAATGTACCCTGTGTGTGGGTTGACCAAAGATGTGTACGGGTACGCCAAAACTCTGTGTACGGGTCGTCCAATATTTGGGAATGGGTTGTGGGTACGGGTTGACTTTATAAAGAATGTATGAAATTTAAATATTTCTTATTGATTGCTATCATCATCAATTGTGAACCCTCTATATGATATTAATAATAATAATAATAATAGTGTAGTTTTTGTATCGCTGTTGCTAAATGTACGGTAAATGGCATTACAGTACATCATCATCACCCAATGAAGTGCCCAAATGTGTGTGACATCATCTTTCAAGACCGGCATTGGCAATGCAGATCACCCACAGTGTGCGTGGTGGGACTAGCGAACAATGTACTGGATTAGTACATGATTAGCTAGGCAAAGAATACAGTATTTTTCCTATGATACTGTTTGTCAGCGATAAATAGGCGTAAGGATTCCACTCAGTAATATGAGTCATGTCATTTATCTATAGCCATATTATGCAATGCCTGCATCCTTTTCAATTAGGCCCAGGCCTTGCTTAGCCTTTTCACTTAATAAGAGTTGACATACAGTACTATCTCTTTACATGATAAAACTTGCACTAAAAGGCAAAATGACATTTTTATGTCGTGCAACTAAAGCATAAAACAGCCTTCCAAATGAAATTAAAACAATATTTAATGAACTTTCCCTACAGTCTTTTAAAAATCATTTAAACAATATATATAATTAACTTTATTTATTCTCTTCTTGACAAAATATGGAATCTAAATTTTACTGATTTTCCTTTTTGCCTTTTCCTTTTTCCATTTTGTTGTTAGTTTTTAGTTTTTAATCTTTTTTGTTTTTGATGCTGTATTTTTATATTTATTTACATTTTGTTTTTCTTTTACTCATTAGTTTTGTTTTTAAGTATAATTTCTTTTTTTTCATTTTGGTTTTTCTTTTATTCTTTTTACTTGCGATCCACTTGTGATACCAGTGCTACGTCACTGAAAATATTGTCACACAAAAGACAGAAGTAAATAAACTGAATATTTTATAAATTGTAATATGAGGATTACTTACTAGTACTCTATATACCGTAGTACTGTTTTAAATGGGCCTGCATCAAAAGTATATTCGGAAATTTGACACTATTAAAATCACATGCTTGGGAAACATTCTCTCGATCAATGGTTTCTAGCCAAATGATGTTTTCAATTGGGGGAGTAACGGTGACGAATTACGTAAAGTTGGGTGAATATTTTTGTAATCTTTTAGAAACGCTGTTATTTTAATAAGCAATATTGAATAATAATAATGATAATTGTTTAGGTATTTTTATACTTTTATATCATTAGTTTTTATTGTGCGCAATATTCATGTTACTTCATATTTAAGGGGCAGCTGACTCTTTTGTGTTACAGTAATAGATTTGCTAGCTGTCCCTGACCATCGTTTTCTTGTTTCTCGTGCTATTAATTGTTTATCGTTGAATAAATAAATGAAATGAAAAATTTACGGTTGCATGTGCATGGTTCAGTTGGAGTGTAAAGCATGGTAATTTT